ACTTGTTTAATCATGTTCGACATGTCATGTTATCATTGTATAGAATTAGTTTTATTTATTACCTCTTGTTGTGATTGGGAACCCTAGTAGTTCACGATTTAGTGGCCTCGTGTGTCATGAACAGACCTAGTGACATGTGTGGGTGTGTTGATTGATTTAGGTGTAACCAGAGATATTGTTGTGTCATGAACAGACCTAGTGACATGTGTGGGTGTGTTGATTGATTTAGGTGTAACCAGAGATATTGTAGACTTTGATTGTTGACTAAAAGCAAGATGAGTTAGGATGGGAAAGTCCTTATTCGTGTGATCGGATATAACTGTTGATATATCTTCTAGGCTTGCACCAGTGGATCGGAGTTGCCACTGGGATTGGTTGGTTGAGTCACAGTGGATCGGTGTCACCACTAGGGCTGGTTGGTTGGGTCAAAGTAGATTGGTGTCGCTTCTTTGGTTCATGAATTTATTTGATTGTATGCACATAAGGGATATGTGAACAGTTAGTTATCCGATAAAATGAGCGTTGACTGTGTGAGATGTGAATCAGTGACCTGTTATAAGATAGCTAGTTATATAACCTTGTTATTTGAATGATCTATGAATTCTTATGAGATGTAGGACATTTGTATTTCTTTCATACATAGATCGGAAGTAATATTTAATTATCTACAATTTAAGACATATGGTATATACATGAGGGTTTTCTTGTTTGGATTATTTCGCTCGACGTACTACGTCTCTTGTTGTAGATTTTTAAGTATTAATTTTATCTAGTTGTATAACCTTGTTACTTGGATGAGTATTCTGATTGCTAGTTGCATGACCTCGTCACAGATTAATTTTTGGATTCTTTGATTACTATATACTATTGGTGGATTTCATTTAGTTTTTAGTTTTCCAGCTGCATGCTTCTATTTATTATTACTATTTTTTCCTTGGTCGTTTGACCATTTATTTCTCTCATGCGGGATCTTATCGTGAGCCATGCACGCTGACGTACACCTATTTTATCTGGTGTACATCAGATTTAGGAGACGGATAGCCTCAGTTCACAATCGTACATGAGCCAGAAGATTCTTAGCAGGAGTACCTTGCAAACGGTGTAGATGAACAAGCTAAAGTATAGTGGTTTTCTTCTATAGTAGTTGTGGGACATTAGAACTCTTTATCATATTTTTTCTTAGTTTGATAATGGATTTTTGTATTTTTAGTAGTACTTTCTTTTATTATGAACTATGTATTTTTATTCTTAGTTGGACCATTTTTATAATAAGGGTATGTTTGACCCATATTTTTATGTCTAGAATGATCTGCTTGATGATATGTTTATTTCTTATTCTGAGTTGTCTTTATATTCTTGCTATTATGATCGGAGACCTGTGATTGAGATTTATGTACTTGATGCTTAGCGTATTGGATTTAGAAGAAAAGAAAAGAAAAAAATGATAGTGTATATTTCTTCTCAATCTAATACGTTACGGACTTGTTCACGTTCTAATTCCCTGGTATTTTGGGAAGCGGGGCGTGACAGTTTTTTTTGGTGGCCCATGCAGGTCACGGTCCCAAATCCTCACTAGTAAGAATATAGTGGACAATTTAGATACATATCATATTTCATCGGTATGACTACGATTAAATTCTTATACTATTATCTTAATAGCTATGTTTAATTCCTATTTTCCCAATATATTGTTTTGATTTTAACCTTATTTTTCTTTTATCCTCGTTTTCCTCTAGAACTATGGTTTTCCCAATATATTGTTTTGATTTTAACCTTATTTTTCTTTTATCCTCGTTTTCCTCTAGAACTATGGTGGGTACGCGTGGCTTTAGTAATCCGTCTAGTAGCAGTGCCCCGCCGCTCGAAGTGGACCCGAACCAGCTTCTAGCGATGATTCAGAGGTTGGTTACTAACCAGCAGCACCTGGCTGGGTAGCTGTACAGGGAGCCTTAGCATCAGCCTCCCCCTCATATAGAGTCCGGTGTTAGGGAGTTCCAGTACATGCGACCGCCTTCCTTCTCTGGTGTTGAAGGACCCTTAGCAGCGGAGGAGTTCCTGAAGGTCACTGAGACTATTCTCACGGTGACCCGTATTGCCCCAGCTGAATGGATAGACCTTGTGGATATTCAACTCACTGATACCGCCCGGATATGGTAGGTAGCTGAGAAGACCCATCTGGAGAGGCCAATCTTGTGGGAGATGTTCACCGAGCGTTTCAACAAGAAGTATTTCCCTCAGTCGGCTCGGGACGAACTCCTACGTAGGTTTGTTGAGCTCAAGCAGGGACGCCGATTAGTTGATGAGTATGAGGCTAAGTTCTCTTCCCTGAATTGATATGCTCCTCATCTAGTTGCAGACCCTACCATTAGGAGGTATCAGTTCTAGAAGGGTCTGGATAAGTATATCATGTTTTCTTTGGCTGATAGAGCACTTGTGACTCAGTATCAGTTCTAGAAGGGTCTGGATAAGTATATCATGTTTTCTTTGGCTGATAGAGCACTTGTGACTCATGATGCAGTACTAGATGCAGCACGTGGGATTGAGAGCATGCAGAAGTAATCTGAAGACCCACATGTGATTTAGAGCAGAACACCAGCAGCTCCAGCCCGGAATATCGAGCGTTCCCCTCCGAGGTAGCAGCAGGCTCCACAGCGACTTCAGATTACTCAGCGCCAGCCACTTTCTCCTGTGCATCCCTATCAGCACCCTAGAGTGTAGACCCGTTGCAAGTCTTCAGTGAAGTGTTCCTATTATGGCCACGCTGGGCATACCCAGTAGGAGTGTTGTAGGCGTCTTAGTCTGTGCAACGCCTGTGGATCCCCAGACCATGTCAGTCAGGACTATCCGCAACGACAGTAGGCCCGCTTGTCCCCACCTCCAGTTCGAGCAGCCCTTCCAGCTCCACCTCGACCTGCCATAGCAGAACCAGCTCAGCAAGAACCCTATCCTCGAGCAGGTCCTTTTCCTCCACAACAGCAGGTTTATCAGGAAGCGCGAAGGCAACAACGACATTCATGATGATGACCGTGAAAGCTGAGGCGAACGACCAGGTTATTACCGGTAAGAATTTATCATCTTAGTTTTACTTGCATATGATTTTCCTTATTAGTATTGCTTGATGATATTATGATAGGATTTGTTTATGAGTACTAGTTTAGATGTATTTTTCTCCTCCTGTAATAGGCAATGTTCTTGTTTCTTCCGTTCTTGCTTTATTACTCTTTGACTCTTAGGCTTCCTATTTTTTCTTGTCTCGTCGATTTGTGAGTACTCACTCTCGTTTCATATCTCTATCCTTGGGCTTAATTCTAAGGATGGAATTTGTTTTAAGGGGGTAGGATGTAATGACTGTAAAATTTAATACTAGTTAAAATAATTTTTTTTAGTATTTTAAAGATTTAACTATTATTTTTAGAAGAGTATTTGTATTTTTCTCAGCCTTCTAGAATTTTCTATGATTTAAAAGTCTAAATTTTATATTTATTTAAATGATTTTAATATTTATAAATTTATTTTGTGCGGTAAAAATTTCTGAAATTAAATTTTTGTGTTATCGGTACTATTATGTATTATTTTAAATAATATGTTGTATTATTGTTACTATTACGTATTATTTCATGTATTATGTAGAATTATTAATTACGTATTATTTGTGTAAATTATTGAATTTTTTTTAATTATTGTGTATTAGCTGTTGTATTAGTATAACTGGTACGTTTTACTATCTATATAATTATCCCATAACTATTTGATTTTAAATGTAAGTAAATATATTTTATTTATTAATTATTCTTGTTTAATTGTACAATATCTGTATATTTCGACTATTTCATATCAATTGTTGTATTAGCACAACATGTATGTTTTTGTTTGTAGATAATTATTCTGTAATTATTTTAATTTATATATATATACCCATAACTTACAAACCTTACGTCTAAATAAAAACACGTCACCTCTCTCCTTCGCTCTCTCACCCTCCGTCTCAGATCACGCCGAAACCTAACCGTGCACTTTGCACCACCGTCCCTCAGTTTGTCGCTGAGCAGCCCCTCATTCCGCGCCCCACTCCTCCGTCCTCGCTCTCACCACCCACAACCACCAGCCTCCTTCCTCATATGTCAGCCACCCGAGCCCAAGCACCCCACTTTCCTCATCCGCCTCGCTACTTTTCGCTCTCACCCTCGGAGCTGCCGGCCGCAGCCTCCACCTTTGCACTTACATCTTAACCATCCCCTCGACGCACAGTCGTCCCCGCGCCATCGCTCGACTGCCGCCACCTGTGCCGCGCCTCAACCCCAGCCCTTGTCGGGCTTTCCCTCCTCGCGTCACGTCAGCACCTCTGACGCCTGCACCCTTTCCCTTCATGCCACTTCCTGCGCCGCCTCCTTCCTTCGTCGCCGTGCTCACAAACTCCGAGTACTCTGACGCCCCTGCTTGTTGAGCCGCCCCAGATCACGAGAATTCCGCCGCCACCTACCGCGTCCTGCCCCCCTGCACATTCAGATCCGACGTAATGCACACTGCGCCACACTGGAGTTCCATGTGATGCCGCGCTCTATTCGCGTCTGACCGACCACACCGCAGGCGTCGGACTCATTCGTTACCGAGGCAAGATCTCGTCGCTTAATTAGTATCTCTTTTATAATTATTATTGTTAATTATCTTCATTAGATATTTATTATGATTAATATCATTATTATGGTTAATATGCATTTTTGAATATATGCATGGAATGATAATGTGTAATACTAGCTTATATCTAAAAGTTGACAAGCATGAAATGACGAGCGCACAGGTGGAAATTAGATTAATAATGTTGTTAATTGTATTTTTAAGAAATTACGAATATGAAATGACAAGTTAGGTGTTAAAATTATAATTTACAAAATATTATCAAAATAGAAATAAATTAAAGGTAATTTATAAAATAGGGAAATGTTACTATTCATGTAGAAAAGAATTAACACAGGCAGTTTTGCAATGAACCCCCTCCAAGACCAAACAAATCAACCCCGTTTCCACATATTCCTCCTCCCCAAAAGCCAAGCCCCAAAACCAGATCCAGATCTCTCTCCCCCCTTCCAAGACCCTTCTTCCTCCTTGAAACGAAGGCTCTCCAAAGCAGATTGAACCCCATCTGCCCCCCTCCAAGACCCTTCCTCCTCTGCGAGCCTACTCCGTCTATCCCGATCTCTTGATCAGGTAAAATCCCTCTTCTTCCTCATATTCGTTTCGGCTGTTTCCTTCTCAGGTCTCCCTCTTCTTCTCCTTCTCATTTCTTCTAATACACCCTCTCTTCTAATTAGAAGCTGGAAAATCTTGAGAAGCGTTTCTCCTTGCTACGGATGTATGTTTGCAATGTTAATTTGTGTAATGATTCACCTGTAATGTTCGGCAAACAAAAGCCTGATCCAAGAATGTTTTATTAATTTCGAAGTTTGGTGCTTTTATAAAATTTTAGTGAGCAAAAGTTTTAGACAAACAGAAATTGATGTTGAAAACAAAATTAGTTGTACTTATTAGTATTCACATCACTCCTCTTTCTTGCCTTTTTTTTGGTTGTCCAAATTGCATGTAGAGTGCCACTGAATGCTTCATCCACTTAACTGGAGAACTATATTAGAAGTGGAGCACAACACAGAATGCAACGAAATTATGTGAGTGAACGTGGCTTATAGTGTTTACGAACGCCAAAGCATGTATTTTGATGCAGATACTCATGTTCTTGTTCAACATGATGATTTTCACAGTCCTTTTACACATGACCTAAGAGAGCAATACAACTTTTGTTTACGAGTGGAATACATGATTTATTTTGTTAACTACTTTATGAGTCTACTTCTTAATTGATGTCAAGGTTGTAGTTTCTTATGATTTTTTTAGATAACAAGTATATGTATTAACTGTTACTGGTTTCTTGCTGCAGAGAAAAAGATTGACGAGCTACACAATCGTTCTTGATCTTCATCTCATGTGCTGTTGATTTCTGGTGATTTTTGTAATGTGATCAAATACCATTTTACAACACCTGAGGATTTTGTTGAGCATTTATGTAATCTTCTTCAGTTGTATAAGACTATAATTTGATGTGGTGATTTTGTTGAGGAGTGGTCTTATGTGATCATTTATGTAATATTGGCTTTATTGATGCTCGCTTGCTTTTGTTTTTTTAGCCAAAGAGGCAACAACACATCCCATGGTCACATGAGATGATGGTATATTATTCCTCTTTCTATTGTCGTCGTTGTTATGATGGTATATTATTCCTCTTGAAACAGAATCCTCTATAATATCAGACCACTGACCAAAATAACAATGTAAAGGAGATTTGACATGATCCAAATCAAGTAAGCTCTTGAAAAACCAAAGTTAATATTTGTTGTACAAAAAATTAATGCGCTAATGAAAGACATTTACATAGGAACGAAATTCAAACAAAACCCCTCTGAGCTTAGTGCAGTGCAGTAAATTCTGTATGCGCATGCAAAATTTGGAGACTGGTGCTTGAAACAAGTCTGTATTGACTCTGCGGCATTTGTGAATTTATCAACTTGAAATTTGCATTCCTCTCAATTATAAAAAAATGTCACATCGTTGACCTCTCTTCACAATATAAAAACTCTTTCTTGCCATGGATAACCTGAAAATTTGTGCTTTAAAAAGAAATTATTAGTAGATTACAAGTGTGGTAGCAGATACATACATGTTAGGAAACTCTACTGTTTTCAACCGATGTATAAACAACATGTAATTGGATTCAATCATGACATGTACATTTAAGTCTAAACAATTAAAGATACATTCAATAACACATAGTGGTGCTATCATTTTCCTAACACATACCTCTGTTAATAGACATATATCTCCCAGTGAAAATTTGCATACAAAATCAACACAAACACACAGCTTTGAATTACAAAATTCAATAAAAATTCACTTATCCATTACCCTCTTCTGACCTTTCCATCTCAATCGGTCTAACAACTCACTCTAAAGCAATGTTTTAAAAGAAGTATGTCAACGCGTCTAAACATAGTCTCGTAAGCACCCACTAATTTCTAAAAAATTGGTCTACAATGATAAAAAGAATCAACCCGGCTCCATCTATCAAACTAGGATCCAAACCAAGGATAGAGGATGCAAGATCTAATCCAAACGATATTCTTGGAAATTTCAAATCAAGCTAGCAAGGTGGTAAAATAAATAATCAAGAAATGGAATTTTAAAGAAAATAGAAAAACACCAACCCCTATAGAAATATGTAGGATCTGATGTGGTAGTGGCGCCACTGGGCATGGAGGTGGGCGGCGATTTGACGACGGAGTGGGAAAGTCACGGAGGAAGAAGGGTCTTGGAAGGGGGGAGAGAGATCTGGATCTTGTTTTGGGGCTTGGCTTTTGGGGAGGAGGAATATGTGGAAACGGGGTTGATTTGTTTGGTCTTGGAGGGGGTTCATTGCAAAACTGCCAGCGCTTTTTTCTAATCAACAGCGGAAACGAATCGCACGCATCCACGTGGACTGCAGTGCATTGAAGGGCCAACGCTTCCCTAGTTTTCGCACGTTGCTGTGCGAAATATTTTTGTATCCGAAGAAAACTCTCTCTCTCTATATATATATATATATATATATTACATAAATATATTATATTTAAATTAGTTATAATGAGAAATAGTTTTAAAGAATAATTTTAAAAAAAGAATATTATTATTTATTATAATATAACTGATAGTCGTAGAGCACGACATTTCATGTGCAAAACGACATCGGGTTCCAGTTTCCTTTTACCGTATTATTATGTTAGAGATTATTTAATTACAGCATCGGGTTCCAGTTTCCTTTTACCGTATTATTATGTTAGAGATTATTTAATTACAGATAGCTTGCATGAGAAGTTTGGACACCCTAGTAGAAAGATATTAATGAAGTCTACTTATGTGTGTTTTTATGCTGTGTAGACTCTGTTCATGCATTATGTATTTCGTTCGTAGTTATTACTCATGCCATGTGAACTTGTTTAATCATGTTTGACATGTCATGTTATCATTGTATAGAATTAGTTTTATTTATTACATCTTGTTGTGATTGGGAACCCTAGTAGTTCATGATTTAGTGGCCTCATGCGTCATGAACAGACCTTGTGACATGTGTAGGTGTGTTGATTGATTTAGGTGGAACCAGAGATATTATGGACTTTAATTGTTAACTTAGAAAAGCAAGATGAGTTGGGCTGGGAAATTCTATGTTCATGTGATCGGATATGACTGTTGATATATCTTTCAATCTTGCACCAGTGGATTGGTGTCATCACTGGGGTTGGTTTGTTGAGTCACAGTGGATCGGTGTCGCCACTGGGGCTGGTTGGTTGGGTCAAAGTAGATCGGTGTCGCTACTTTGGTTTATGAATTTTTTTGATTGGAAGCACGTAGGGGATATGCGAACAGTCAGTTATCCGATGATATGAGCGTTGACTCTGTGTGAGATGTGAACCAGTGACATGTTACAGGATGGCTAGTTACATGACCTTGTTATTTGAATGATCTATGAATTCCTGCAAGATGTAGGCTAGTTGTATTTCTTTCATACATAGATCGGAATTAAAATTTAATTATCTACAATTTGAGACATATGGTATATACATTGAGGGTTTCCTTGTTTGGATTATTTCGCTTGACGTACTACATCTCTTGTTGTAGATTTTTAAGTATTAATTACATCTAGTTGTATGACCTTATTACTTGGATGAGTATTCTGATTGCTAGCTGCTTGACCTCGTCACCGATTGATTTTTGGATTCTTTGATTATTATATACTATTGGTGGATTTCATCTAGTTTTTAGTTTTCCAACTGCATGCTTCTATTTATTATTACTGTTTTTACCTTGGTCATTCGACCGTTTATTTCTCCCATGCGGGATCTTGTCGTGTGTCATGCACGCTGACGTACACCTATTTCTCTGGTGTACGTCAAATTTAGGAGACAGACAGACTCAGTTCGCAATCGTACATGAGCCAGAGGATTCTTAGCAGGAGTGTCCTACAAACGGAGTAGAAAAACAAGCTGAAGCGTAGTGGTTTTCTTCCATAGTAGTTGTGGGACATTAGAACTCTTTATCATATTTTTTTCTTAGTTTGATAATGGATTTTCGTATTTTTAGTAGTACTTTTTTTATTATGAACTATGTATTTTTATTCCTAGTTGGACCGTTTTTGTAATAAGGGTATGTTTGACCCATATTTTTTTGTCTAGAATGATCTGCTTGATGATATGTTTATTTCTTATTCTGGGTTGTCTTTATATTCTTGTTATTGTGATCGGGGACCTGTAATTGAGATATATGTACTTGACGCTTGGTGTATTGGATTAAGAAGAAAAGAAAAGAATAAAATAATAGTGTATATTTCTTCTCAATCTAATACATCATAGACTTGTTCACATTCCTATTCCCCGGTATTTTGGGAAGCGGGGCGTGAAATTTTTTTTTGGTGACCCATGCAGGTCATGGTCCCGGGTCCTCACTAGTAAGAATATAGTGGATAATTTAGATACATATCATATTTCATCCGTACGACTACGATTAAATTCTTATACTATTATCTTAATAGATATGTTTAATTCCTATTTTCCTAATATATTATTTTGATTTTAACGTTAGTTTTCCTTTTATCCTCGTTTTCCTTCAGAGCCATGGTGGGTATGCATGGCTTTAGTAATCCGTCTAGTAGCAGTGCCCCGCCACCCGAAGTGGACCCAAACCAGCTTCTTGCGATGATTCAGGGGTTGGTTACTAACCAGCAACACCTGGCTGGGTAGCTACACAGGGAGCCTCAGCATCAGCCTCTCCCTCGTGCAGAGTCTGGTGTTAGGGAGTTTCGATACATGCGACCGTCTTCCTTCTTTGGTGCTGAAGGACCCTTAGCAGCGGAGGAGTTCCTGAAGGTCACTGAGACTATTCTCACGATGACCCGTATTGTCCCTACTGAATGGGTAGATCTTATAGATATTCAGCTCACCGATACCGCTCGGATATGGTGGGCAGCTAAGAAGACCCATCTAGAGAGGACAATCATGTGGTAGACGTTCACAGAGTGCTTTAATAGGAAGTATTTCCCTCAGTCGGCTCGGGACGAACTCCTACGTAGGTTTGTTGAGCTCAAGCTGGGAGGCCGATCAGTTGATGAGTATGAAGCCGAGTTCTCTTTCCTGAGTCGATATGCTCCTCATCTGGTTACAAACCCTACCATTAGGAGGCATCAGTTCTAGAAGGGTCTGGATAAGTATATCAGGTTTTCTTTGGCTCGTAGAGCACTTGCGACTCACGAGATAGGAGAAACCTACACCAAAAGGAGGATTGGAAGACTTGGGGAGTTGTTTCACTATTTGTGAGATAATCCCCGCCGTCTCGCATAGGCGAGATAGTGTTTGCTATCTCACCTATACAAGACAATCCCCACTGTCTCGCATAGGTGAGACAGTGTTTGTTGTCTCACCTATACAAGACAGTGTTTGTTGTCTCACCCATACAAGATAGTGTTTGTTGTCTCACCTATGCGGGATAGTGTTAGCTATCTCACAAATAGTGAGATAGCCTCCCCTATTAAGGTAGAACTTTTGTGGGCCCACTTGACCCCTGTCAAGTCAGAGGAGATCATCCAACAAGAAGGAAAGCAAAGAAGAACACAAAACACAACTCAAAAAGGACTTGGAGCTGTCTTACAGTTAGTGAGATATTATCCACTGTCTCGCATATGCGAGACAGCAACGGCTGTCTCGCCAACTACGAGACATCCTCCCAAGTCTTCAGCACATTTTATTTGGTTTTGTGGGATCCACTTGGATCCATAACTACTTGAGAACACTCATTAACGTTAATGGGCAGTTTCACCCTAAAAATATGCCCACTACCCATGAAAAATGTGGCATTTAATGCACTTTAAGTAGTAGGACGGTGGTTACAAAGTGCCTGCAACTGTCCCATTTGGCTGAGATAGTGGACACTATCTCAGAAGCATGAGACAGTGTCCAAGGGGTTGTTTGCATTCTTTGAGTTATGGTCTCCTACCTCTATATATACCCCCTACGCACTTGTGAAGGGTACCAAGGTGGACCAAGGTGTGAACAAGCAGAGTGAGGCTGGTATTTGGCGAACATTGAGAGCAAGAGAGAGTTCTCATTCACTTCCAAGCATTCTCAAGAGTCCTTTGGTGTTTCCTTGAGTTTAAACTTAGATTTGATCTTAAGAAGAGTACTTGTCTTACCTCGCTTAGACACTTACTTCTGTTATTGTTTCCCCGTTGAAACATTAACTTCAAACCTTCTTCGTATCTGACTTAGAAATGTTGCTCGGTGGTCAACGAATAACGCATCCCCAGCACAGGCAAAGAATCCCACATAAGCAGAGGCTACTACGTAAGAGTTTCTATGTGTGTTACTAGGGAGTGCGATTTTATTTTCTTTGTAAAGGAGAGATTTACACGTGTAAAGCTTATTCTTTTGTTTCTTTTAAATGACTTAATGGTAGCAACAAAGAAAATTGTTCCCGAAGCAAATAACCCACATTCGGTGAGCTTGCGGATTTCCTTCTTGATTTGTTCTATCAACTCCGAACGGAAGCACCATTGCTATTGTTTGACCGGCTTAACGCTAGGGTTAATGTCAAGATGATGTACAACCACGCTGGGGTCTAGACCCGGCATGTCTTCATAGCTCTAAGTGATAACATCAATGTACTCTTGAAGGAGAACTATGAGTTCTTCCTTTTTAGCGGATGATAGACTTTCACTGATAAAGATGGGCTTATGGTTGATTTTGTCACCTATGTTGATTTGAATCACTTTATCTTCGATGGGAGTTTCTCTTACTTCAAAATGTGACTCCCATTGCTTCTCATGTTTCTTTGCCCATGAATCGTCTTTAGGATCTTCGAGCACCTTGGATTCATCAAGATCCATGGTTAGGTTGTATGAGACATGTTGGTCATGAATTCACTACACAAGACTCTGAGGCTAACATCAAGATCCCAATTGAACGTGTCTGAAGAACTACTTAGGAAGTCATCGGATGTTGGTCTTGCTTGTGGCTTGACTTTTGAAGAGATGTAACTGAGTCCTTGTTTAGTTTAATTGTAATGATTAAAAACTTCACCTTCTCGTGTAAAGGGGATCAAAGGGACTCATAGTCCTCTATTGAAATTCAATTCTTATTTTGCAGTGAGGCTATATCCCATTTTTACCATAATTTGTTAAGATTGTTAGCTGTATCGGGAGAATTATGACGTTGCCTTAGCTTCTTCATCGAAGCTCTGTGTGTGAGCTTGTGACTCAAGTTTTCTGAAGATGATTGGCTTCAAAGTGTTCTCTATGGATAGAACCATGAAGGTGGCATCCTCTAAGTTGTCCAGCTACTTGTGAGCAGAGTACAACTCGTTCATCAGCATATGCAATATTGGTTCTAAGGCTAACCTGGTCATCAGATTTTCGACTCTTGAGTTTTCAAACTCAGAGTCTAAAGAATAGTCGTAAGAAAACTCTTCTTCATTGAAGATCCAATCGCTTTGATCTTCGACGGATTGGTCAATATAGAGGTCCTATAGGGTAAT